CTTCGCATATAAACAATCGATCCTCCTAGCTCGTACAGGCGGACATTCCACTATTTGGGCTAGCCGTAATAGTTCTGTGTTTAGCTAAACCTGTGATGTATTCACTATTCAAGGTGCATTTGTGGTTGTGACTTGTGAGTTGTGATTATCATGTTAGTCTGTCAGTCTGATGAATAACTGTCTTGAATATTGACTGTTGTGTCTGTGTGTGTCTGTGTGTGTGTGTGTGTGTCACTCGTGGGGGCGCGCACACACCACACACACGTCACACGCACGCACACACGCACGCACGCACGCACGCACACACACTGTATTAGCTACTGTGCTTGTGTGTACATTTGAGGAAACAGCCCTGGAAAAAAGTCGCCCTGGAAAGTGGAAAAAGAGCCCTGGAAAATGAAAAAGTAGCCCCCGAAATTTTGGGGGGGTTTGCAAAAAGAGCCCCGGAAAAAAATTAATTAATTTTTTCACTGGTACAATATATTATGTAATATGCAAGACAGTCGTTGGCATCTGTATTCCTAATATCTCAAGAACACAAGATATATAACACCAGACACGTCAAGTCTCACGCATTTTGGTCGATTCTCACGCTATCACGCTCATCTCTGAATTTCTCACGCAAAAATCAAAATCAATAAATAAATAATTAAAACCCCCTATTTTCAGTCCCAGATACCAGTATACTAGTATCAGAAGGCTAAGGCCCGATCAACAGCGCCGCTCCACGGCCGCCCAGCTAGCTAGCTCGCTCCAGCCGTATACGTATACGCTATAAGCAGCGCGCATTTTATTTGCCTGCTTGGAATCCAATATATCCCGCCTGGATCAGTGGATGATGGCTTTAGATCTAATGTAGATCTAGATGTAGATCTACAGTAGATATGAAAATGTTGCACTGGGACTCGACTGGGAGCTTGACTTGAATGTGATTTTTTTCTGTTGACTTTGAAGTGAATGAGTAAGAACTTATATTTATAAAGGCAATAAATCATACCATAGGTATGCACTAAATTGCACCATTTCAAACCTCAAATTTCGGAAACCTCCCTCCAACATCCTCCCCCCACCTTGGTCGCTTCGATCCCTCGGCCGGTGTCGCTCTGTCAAATGCTGAGTCTCATTCTCAACCATTTCTCAAACTTGACATCTCTGACTAAACATGGAAATAGAGTAAAACACACGTACTAATCACGGACGCACGTGGACAGCCGTGACAAAAAGTTCCTTATCACGAGCGTCCATGTTTACGAAATCAATGATGATAGCATTGCGTACGGCCGAGCATGCGTGCGAAAATGTCCGGTGTACTATAAATCTGTATCACACCCGCTTCGCCGGCAGCGGTTTGAAACTGTAAACAACTGATTTTTGGACTTCGGATTTCAATTAGACATTTCTTAGTAACCAGCAGTGATATTGGACAAACTAATACGCGTTTGGCTATAAGGTAATGTACTTATTAACTACACAAGGTGCCAGTTACTCTAGCAGAAGGGGTCGTTGTCGTATCAGGTACTACAGATAGGTACCCGAGGTACATATATGTATACACAAAGTGTACCAGACTTGTAATACAGAAGTGTACCCTAACCCTAACCATAACCCTAACCCTAAACATATACCTCATATAAAAATATAAACATAATACTAAACAACCTAAAACTACCTCGGGTACATATCTGTTGTACCTGATACGACAACGACCCCATCTGCTTTAGTATTATGTTTATATTTTTATATGAGGCATGTTTAGGGTAGGGTTAGCGTTAGGGTTAGGGTACACTTCTGTAGTACAAGTCTGGAACACTTTGTGTATACATATATGTACCTCGGGTACATATCTGTAGTACCTAGCTTATACGACAACGACCCCTTGAGCGTTACTCTACCATTCGTCAACATTGCATAATCAATGGACCTATTATTCCTTTAAAAGCAACAAATGCTAATTACCAGAAGAGCATCCATGGGTATACTTTGTCCAAAACGTATCCAAGTAACTGAATCACCATGCAATGACCAAGAACTATTGATCATACAGAGACAGTATTAATAGCCCTTGGCCTTATGTTAATGCCAAGGATTCCATAGAACAGCCACGAGCCAGCCATATATATTCTCAACATACTTTCTTCGAGGACATAGAAAAACTTACACACAGCAGGAAGTTTCTTATATTTAGGAAGTCTAAAATTTCTTATATTATTCTAAAACTAATCTATTATCTACAGAGCCCATCACAACTTTCCCAACAAAAAAATCGTTCTAAATGAGGAACGGTAAGCAACAGTATCTTTTGAGCAGGGACAGACAATTGTGCTGAAGGGGTCGTTGTCGTATCAGGTACTACAGATATGTACCCGAGGTACGTATATGTATATACACAAGTGTACCAGACCTGTATCTTTTCAGCATATAATATGTACCCTGTGTTTACATAAACGTACCTGCCCCGCAGGCGTGATTCTTTTTCCTAGGTCAAGGGCTCTAGTGAGCGCTGCCATTGGTTGATACAAATCACGTGCCTCAAACTCCTTTTTATGGTGCATTCACTGCATTGTGACCCTAACCCTAACCCAAACTCTATTTACAAAAATATATAAAAAATTTAATTTTTAATTGTTGTTAAAATTAATTGTTGTTATTAAATTGTTGTAAATAAATTATGTAAATATTTGCGTTAATTGGGAAAAAATTGTTAAACGGATAAAGATAGAAAAATACAGAAAACAGGAAAATAATTAAAAAACGGATGGGATTTGATCCACCGACCTTTCAGCCTTCAATTGCGTGCTGTACTCGCTCGGCTATTGAGGGATATTGGAATTATGAATTTTGGATGTGCTATGAATATTACGACACTGTAACGTCATTGAGCGACGAAACAAGCTCAACCAATAGCAGCGCTCACTAGAGCCCTATATATGTTCTTAATTGACCTAGGAAAAAAAATCACGCTTCCCGCCTGGGTACATTTATGGAGCACAGCGGTACGGTTATGTAGAAACAACATTGGTCAGGTACACTTGTGTATACATATATGTACCTCGGGTACATATCTGTAGTACCTGATACGACAACGACCCCATCTGCGACAAGCGTCCTCTGGCATTTAACATAACCTAGAAGTTCAACAACTATAAGAAACGTTACATGATCCCACATAACAACTACTAACACAGGTTATATAGCAACACCTAAAATACGTTCAAACAACAGCAATATAGTGTCCAGAATTATTAACTTAACATGCCAAGCAGATAAAAAGTAGCACAATATACCATTGTCGGAGTCCAAATCACTGTCGCCATGTTCATCATGGTCCAAATCTTCATATGACCCAACAGTGCTTGTGCTAAGATTTCGCTTCCTGCTACAACTTTCTGAAAACAATTTATGTTACATGTTTTCAACTCTAGCTCTCACTTCATTCATTCTAGCGGTTTCGTGGCTGTACATGCATGTACACAGCATCTGCTGACTGTCATTCTGTGTGACTTGGCATATTTACAACTCTTTCCTTCTAAAAGTTTATTATGGATCTAACTGAGATAAACTTTATTTTTATGTGATCCGATGAAATTATTCAATCATCATTCATCATGCATACTGATAATAAACTGTATTGGATAAACAATAGTACTAAAAGAAACGTGACAATTATTTAAAAAGTGTAACTGTAAGCAAGAAAATCCACTAGTAGTACATATCAGTGTGTAAATAAATATTTACCACAATCATGCACTGTACATGTTTGATTCATACAAGATTCCAGTTATGGCATGAGCCAAATGTTGCATGAAAGGGTACCACATCCACACTCACTCACATCCATACTCCATGTACCACATTATAACACAATACGAACAAAAATCGGAAAAGCCACCATGTAGAGGGCCTGAAGGATTAAACACAACAATTCCCAGATATCACCTAAAGCAAATTTGAAGCCATGAACTTCTCTTATGCCTCCCTCCCACACGGTTCCGACGTTGTGACTTCAAACACCATCACATAACGCCGAAATCTTGCCGGGGGGTGGGTACATCATTACGAGAATGTCAACTCACCGTTCTTGTCGCGTCGTAGCTTGGCCGACGCGTCCTTATCTTCGTGTATAAAGTCGACAATTTCCTCCCACCTCTTGTCGAGCTCGGGTTTTGCGGTCGTGGAGCTGGCCGTCCACGAGGGCACTTGCTGCGGCAAGGGCTGCGCGAGAAGAGCGCGGAGACTAGGATTCTGACTCAGCAGGTCCTGCTGAACTTCCGAGGTACTCGAGATCATGGCGACCGACTGTGCGACGTAGGCGTTGATCCGCCGCGGCGAACCGGCAGCGGCTCTCGCTGCTGCCGCCGCGATGATGGCGGCTGCTTTCTTGTATGGCAGACTAGAGGACTTGGCGGCGACTTTGGTCATCGTCGGTGCCGGACGGGCGGAGGCGGTGGACGACGCCCGCTCGTAATCGAAGAGATCGACGCAGGACTCGTCGACGCTGTTCAGCTGAGCGAGCGTCGGACTCTGCTTCAGGTCGGCCTCGTCCACCTGGAAGATGTCCTCCATCTTGAGCATGTCGAGGTCCTGGCCCGCCCAGACGAGCTCCTCCGTCGTCGTGATGTCGTCGAACTCGTTGCGGCCGGACGACGCGAGGCAGCGTAGTTCGCAGCTCGTCATCACCTCGTCTTCGATCTTCACCATGTCGAGGTCGGCCGTCGTCGCCGCGCCACCGCCGCCGCCAACCGTGCTGCCACCTGTCGGCGAGCACATGCTGCCGGTGCTGCTACCGCTCGAGCTGCTGGAGCGACAGATGCCGCCGTAGATGGACGGCACGTCGGTGTCGAGGTCGTGGAACAGGGACTGCTCGCACGGGCCGCCCAGCCACGGCAGATCCACCATCGCGCTGTGATGTGTCGGATCCATCTGGAACACCGCCTGTGTCAATCGATATTTCGAGTTTGAGTTTACCACGTACGTAATCAGTAGATCATAGTAATTAGTAATTAATAATTACTAATTAATTAATGATCAATAATTATTACCAAGTAATAATAAGATAGTAAATGCTACCTAGTAGACAGTACGTATTAAGGCACGTGATCGGAATAGAGTAAGAAATCGTAGATAGAAAAATGCTGGTAAACGTGAAATGTACGATATTGTAGGGTACATGGCATTTTGTTAACTTACAGTGACCACTCTACGTTATAATCGAGTACTAAACCTAGCAAACGATCACTTCTACAGTCGGTCACACCATAGAGCGACCGCCACGAGTTAAAAAAGGGTTCATAAAAAACTAGAAATGCAGGACGTTCCCCTCGACTTACCATTGTCGGTTGTACTCCAAGCTCAAGAATCATTGGCATAGCTTCTGTGACAGTACCCTTGGCTTCACACTTATCTCTCGACGCGTACAGTGTCGGCCATCTGTCCTGCTCCTTGCCCTCTCGCCCAGGCACAATCTCCTTGGATGCCTGCACTTCTACGATCACTCCTCTTCTTAGTCCGTGTCCTATCTCGCTCGCCAAACGTCCTTCTCAATAGCACTTGTGATCGTTCTTCTTAATTCTCAACAAACGTTTTTTTCTCTGAAATTATCCCAAATAAAATTAATTCACACATAAATTCACTGCCGCATATTCTGCATCGAACCCTACTAAAATTCTCACACAAACGTGCAAATACACAACGCTGGAAATGGCAGCCCGTACACCAGCCTAGAATTGGTTACTTCTGAATAGGACTGCCTAATTTTTATTAATTATAAAACGAGTTAAATTGTAGAAATCAATATTTTTAACATTGGCACTGCATGGTTGGGTTTTCGGTCTTATTTCAAAGACTGCTAAACAGTGCTCTATCAATAGAACCAGGCCAGGCTTGTCACACTGTACCTAACTGCTTTCAGTGTAAAACATTTATTCACTTTCCAAATTACATCCCCATTGTGAACAGAAAGTGGCACATATGTGGACAAGTAGGCCACCATGTTGTTAAGTATGCATCTCTCTGTTATTGCCTCTTGTTCTATAGAAGGATAGTAACAACTTGCATTAATGTAGACATTATGCACACATGCACACATAAATACAGGGGTAGAAATTAACTTTTGAACAAGGGAGTCCACTCCCTGCCCTTAAAACGAGGGAGTCCGCGGCAAAATGAGGGAGTCCGCAGTCTGAAGTTCCAAATTAAAGATATTAACAATAACGCATGTGCTTATTTTGAAGATTCATGCGGTTGCATGTCTGCCAAATTTTCTTTGGACAAAATACGGTAATTCCGCAAGGCCGTGCTCTGGAACGAACTAGTTAGTATAGCAAAATTTTCAGGGAGTCACACGGACTCCTGCATATGTCAAATCAAAGAGTCCGACAGTAAATCAGGGAGTATTTGACTCCGGACTCCCGTTAATTTCGCACCCTGTAAATATAGTGGCAAGTACTACATAATATAACATTTACATGGACATGTAAAAGACAGTAGAATGTATAGCTCCAAGAAACGGTATTGCTAGAGTTAGAATATAATCAAGAGTACATAATAGAGATTAATCTCTATTATGTACTCTTGATATAATGTGTATTGACGTTAGTCACACAGCCTGGTCGGGTTATAGAATGTAGTGAGTAATCTTTAGATAGCTACCGTCACTTATACTGTTATTTCTATATAGATCTTACTAGAACAAATTAACAATGCACGTGAAGTGCTTCAATCAGGATTCCTTCTTACACTGACTAACGTGGAATTTTCGACGACCCAGCTTTTGATCGTGTGACCTACAATTAAGTACGATCAGGTGGGTTGCAATGAGAAGGCGTAATACTCTTATTGTGGAACTCCTGTCGCCATTTCGAATATAACTCCTGTTATTGAATATCAGTACGTTCGCGTTCCCATACCCCCACCTGCTGAGAATGCGGAGGAAAGGTTCCGGGTAGCCCGCTCTGTGTACACACCGCCATCGCGTAAACATATTGCGCAATCGCATCAGCTGGTATGTACGTGCGCGCGCATACTGTAGGTCTAAAGCAAGTACACTCGTAGCGGGAAGATTTCGCACGTCAATACAGTAATGGCCCCACCGTAACGTTGTAAACACAGATGAACTGCGTTTGAACTACACCAGCGATGCTGCATGAAAGCAGGCCAGTGTCCCAGTTAAAGCAAAACCAGGTACGCTCGGGGGAAGGGCAACCCGATTTCATTATTTTCGCAACAAAACCTGAGCTCGATTAGCAGATGTGCATACAATCAGTGATATATTATCAGGAGTAAGATAATATAGGATCCTATATTATCTTACTCCTGATATTATGTACACTCAGCATCGCTACAAATCCTACATAGTTAGTATATCGAGGTATACTCAATATAGCGAAATATATATAGCGAAACTCAATAGAGAAGGTGGAAGCGAGTTGCAGATAGACTCAGTATAAATAGTCAGAAATACAATATATTGTACCCCTACTGTGTTAATGTACTTCGCATGAAATATACTGAAAGCTAATAACTGCCTTACCCGGCCGTTTGATCACTATATTAGTGTAATGTTCTCCTTGACCATTTACAAGGATATATAGATACTTTATTTTATTTTCTTAATTATTGCATCTCCTGGCATTATTAACGTCAGTGTTAATTGTAAACTTATCAAACAAATAATGATTTATGATTCGTGGGTTCACATAAATAATACTGCATAATAGATATCCACATCTGAATTAATCCTCTGATATTCACGGGGATTAGTTGTGTAACTGACAACACAAAGGTATGTGAAATCACGAAAGAAATGAGAATACAATAATAACTAACATTCATTTATTGTAGCTAAACATGAACCTGTTAAATAGTATCCTAATGTATTCTACATCAGGTTTCCATGAAATTTGTATCTTCCACTTCATATTTTTTATCACTGTCATTAAATTATACGCATGCCCACAGGCACTTGGAACATCTCAATAAAAAAAAGGTAAAAAAACACGAAATGTATTTACTACCAGTCGATTTTTCGATTTTTCGATTGTTCAGAGTTTTCGATTTCTACTCTCTTTCGCCTATTCTGACAACTTCCTGTAAATGCCATTCAAATGCTCCAACGTGGATCCAAATTTTAACGCGGATTCTATAGAGCATGCATGGGGAATTTTTCAAAAATACCTCCTAGAGCTAGGCCATTGACACTGTCGCCCCTAAGTTAAAACAAGTGCCGCGGAGCGACAGCGCTCATCTAACGTCTACTGCGGTGACTCTGTGGTGGAGTGGTGGGATTCTAGTAAACTCTGTTAGTCCCAAATGTGTTCACATACGCGCCGAAACAGTGGAAGGCACAGGGATGGTATCAGGAACCTTCTCAAAGGAATGTTCGTTGTGATCGTTATGAAAGTTGCCACGAGCCCTCGGTCTGTAACGTGCAAAATAAATTGTCAAAATACGCAACTTTTTCGGGGTGGCAGCACGGTCGCGGGTGTCATGGCGCCGTTCAAATTTCGTAGCGTTGATGTGTAATTAATTATAACAATTAAATTAGGTATCTGGTAACAAATACGTGTGGGTACTATAGACGATTTGTTATACAGTAAGTACAGTTGTATGCAGTAAAATCCTAGAGGCTACTAGCTGTCCCATTAAATCTAGGTTTTAAACCTTAAAACCTGGTTTTAGACCTTAAAACCGGGTTTTAGGGTCTAAAACTAGGTTTTAAGCATTCGAGAGCTTAAAACCTAGTTTTAAGCTCTTAAAACCTGGTTTTAAGCCATAAAACCGGGTATTAGGCCTTAAAACCTTGGTTTTTAAGATCTTGAAACGCGTTTTTAAGCTCTTTAAAACCTAGTGTTTTATGGCCATAAAACGCCGGTATTAGCGGCCTTAAAACCTGGTTTTAAAACTTTAAAAACCCGCTATTTACAATCTAAACTAGGTATTATGCTGTTCGGTAGAAAATGCGTTTTCCATACGCATCCGCACTACGTTCAGATTGAGCTCTCTACTCTACCTCTCTCTCCTAGCCTCGGAGGGAGCTTCCTAAGGCGCCTCTCCCCTCCTTTGCGCTTCTCTGTCTAGCAAGCTCTCTTGCTCTCGCCTCCCCCCCGCCCTCCCTTACTACCCCTCTCCTTCTAGCCTACTTCTCCTCTAAAGCTCTCCCTACTCTCTCGCTCTCTTTCCTCTCTCTAGGCCTCCTCTAAGCTCCCATGCTGGGCTCTCCTCTTCCTCCCCTAACCTCCTTCCTTCTACCCCTCTCTCCCTTCTTCTTGAGCTGCTCCTTCTCCTTTAACCCCAAGCGCTACTCCTCCCCTGTAGCCTTACTCCCCGCTGCCTCCTCCCTGCTCAGCTCCTCTCCCGATGCTGCCCCTAATAAAACAAAGAACTGCAGCGTGGTTTGATAGTGAAGATTAGGGAGCTTATTCTTGGAAGAGATTACTACTGCTTCATAATAGGAGTAAAGTATGAATTACAATACCAAGGATTACTCTCTC